GGGAACCACCTGCCCATCCCCCCCAACAAGCTACAGCTCCACCCTCCCTGCCCCCTCCCTCACTGCAGGGGGAATTGATCTGCCCCCCCCCACGCCCCTTCCACCACAACAATCTTACCAGACTGGGCTCTGCTGCTTGCTGCCTGAGTGCTGCATTGCGGCTGCGCGCGCAGACGGATGTTTATTGGCCACTTCAGGCCGATTTCCAGTACAGCTAATTTTCTTTGTATCGGTACCGATCTGATATCGGACTGATGTATTGGTGTACCTCTAATAATTAGGGATGGGTAAGAGGGGCACTAATGGTACACACCAATTTGGGTGCCAGAATCATCCTGCACACTGATCGAGTCCATGCACCAGCAGCCCCACGGTGTAGTTCTTGCAGGAGTGAAAGTTGGTGTATGAGCAAGAGCTAGGGCAGGTAGAGCATATGGCTGCAGCAGCAGAGCCTCTAGGGACTGTTTTGGACTCCTGCACCTGCCCCACTGCTGTTCTCAGAACCTGCGTGTGATCCCCCTCATCCTTTCAGAACCCACGCATTTGCCAGGGATGCAAATCCTGCTTGTTACAGCTCTGAGTGTGAGCATGTGACGTATGAGTACTTAATGTAGTTTCAAGGAACTTCTTTGAAGAATGCATAGTTTTGTCCAGATGTCTATACCCTTTTTAAGTATGACAATATGGCAATGCTTGCAACAGCTGTGCTAATTAAAGTGTTGGTAATGTTTTCTGTTTCCTTCCTAGTGACAAAAAGAAAATAAGTTAATCTCTGCTAATTATTATTTTTGGTGTTTTCACTGTAGGGGATCACTTACAGAAAAGCACTAGAAGAGGGAATTAATCATGCACAGCTCCCTCTCGGAAATTTTGTGAAAATGAACACCCGGAAAGTGTTGGCAGTTAACCATGGTAAGTCATGAGGTTGTAAAATTCAAATTAAAATATGACTGTTCAAAAGCAAGCCAGCACATAGAGACCTAATCTTTATTTTCACCTATTTGGATCTCTTAAACAAAGCGGCTCTCTCTAGGAGGTAATAGTTGGCCCAGTCATCTTCTTGTGTTTTTGGGATGGTAAGGTTTTAAGGTGGAATCTTCAAAAGTATCTAAGTCCATTAAGAGTGCAAGTTCCTTTAATGTTTCCCGTAGAAAGCATGTAGTTTTTGAAATTTTGGTGTATAAGGGGTAATTGTTCAGCTTTCCAGACATTCTAGAAAATTTAACTAATTATTAAAATATTGGGATTTGTCCAATGGGTTTCTGTTTTCTTTGAAAAAAATAAAGGATCAATTTCTGTCCCTGTCTGACAATCTTTATTGTTCATTATTTACTTGAGAGCTACAGAATTTGGGTCGCTCCTAAATGCATTTAGCAAGAGCTGCAAGAATATGTACATAGTTTCTTTGTACATTGTAGTTACATGTACATTTAAGTGGACGACTGTACGAAACTTAATTATGCTGTTTCTCTGTGCTTTGACATCTAGCATCTCTTTAATTTGGTTTGTTTAAATATAAGCCTACACAGCATGGTTGTTTCTCAGTCCTGCTTTGATTTGTCTAGTTATGCTATCATATGAGTCTTCCCCCCCAACCCCCCCATGGATTTCTTTTATTTTGTGTTGTTTTATTTAAACTTTTCCAACCTTGGTTTTATCATCTGACCTTTCTCTTGGTGGTAAAAATGCTCCCCCAACAATGTTAGAAAATGTAACTAATAGGCACAAGTGCATGGAAGCATTATATATTTAAGCAGTGGAGAACCAACTTTAACACTGAATCTCCCATCACTAATCTTAACTAAACTCCACCTTCTTGAAACATTGTTCACACAGTGGTCTCTTAGCTTTAAATATCAACTACAAAGTTGAGAACAGTGTTTCGTACATAAGGGCTGTTCAACTGGCAGGCCACGTGCACCCCACAAAGAAGTTGGCTGGAGCCTGGGGGCCACAACTTTGGCTGCTACTCCCCACCCCCTGTTGCTCCAGCTGCTATTGCCAGTGTCCAGGCTTCTCCTCCCTCCTCTAGGTTCTGTGTTCTATGCCTGCCCCAGAGGGCAGTGCAGTATGGCACAGCATAGTGCAGATGGGGCCAGGTCCACACATTACAGAGTCAAGGGCATGGGAGGGAGGCACCCAGGTAGGCATGTAGTGCAATTGAGGGGGAAGCTGTCCACATAGGTGCACAGTGCAGCAGGGGGAGGGGGGAGGGGCATCCATGTGGTGTGCAGCCCTGGGGTATGTGACCCATACTGGTATCATCTGTGTGGTATGTGGCCCCCACTAATGCAACCCATGGGGCATGTAGCCCCCGGCCACTTAGAAGTTGGACAACATTGTCATATTATCCATTTAAAGCTATAGAATACTAGCTTCTGTTTAGGTAGGATGTTGTGTAGCAATTGCATGCTGACCTCTAGTGTTAATGTTTTGAGAAGATGTCTTTGACTAGATTGAGTACTAGGCTTAGTAAACAGAGTTATAATCTGACTTTTCCACTGATTCACTAACTGATCTTATACAAGATGCTTAGGGCCACATTTTAAGGTATTTGGGTATCCAGTTTATGTTGAAATGTTAGTGTACTTGTGACGTAGGTACATGTACAATGAAATTTCTGATGGACGTTTTCTTAACGATTTTCAGGGCAAAAGTTGACATGAACTAATTGCATACGGTAGTTCAAGTTAAAAAATCTTAGTTGAGGATTTTAAGCAGAAAAGCCAGGAAACTTACTTTTGTCTCTTACTCATTCTAACCTTGATCTAAGGTCTACTTTCAATAGGATTACTTACAAGTAAGTCATTACTGGATATAAGGAAAAAAACCCTCTGTAGAATTCTTGTGTGCACGCATGTGTGCGTGCACACATGCAGGTAGCAAATTACTTTTTCATTGATCTTTGATATATGGGTGGGCGGGTTGTTTGCAACCTGGAGGGATGTGGGCAGTGGGGTTCCCCAGGGCTCGGTCCTCGGGCCTACACTGTTCAACATCTTCATCAGTGACTTGGACAAGGGGGTGAAAAGCACCTTGTCCAAGTTTGCAGATGAAACTAAGATGTGGGGAGAAGCGGACATGTCAGAAGAGAGGAACAGGCTACAGCTACACTTGGACAGGTTGCAAGGGTGGGCGGATGAGAATAGGATGGGTTTCAACACTGACAAGTGCAAGGTGCTGCACCAAGGGAGGAAGAACCAGCACCATACCTACAGGCTGGGGAACTCCCTTCTTGTCAGCACAGAGGCAGAAAAGGACCTTGGAGTTATTATCGATTCCAAGATGAACATGGGCCGTCAACGTGAGGACACGGTCAGTAGGACCAACCACACCTTGTCATACGTCCACAGATGCATCGCAAGCAGGTCCAAGGAGGTGATCCTCCCCCTCTATGCGACACTGGTCAAGCTGCAGTTGGAGTACTGCGTCCAGTTCTGGGAGCTGCACTTCAGGAGGGATGTGGACAGCATTGAGAGGGTTCAGAAGAGGGCCACTCGCATGATCCAGGGGGCAGCAGGGCAGACTCTATGAGGAGAGGCTATGGGACCTGACCCTGTTCAGCCTTCGCAAGAGAAGGCTGAAAGGGGATCTGGTGGCCGTCTATAAACTTACCAAGGGAGACCAGCGGGGAATGGAAGAGACCCTGTTCCCCTCAGCACTACCAGGAATAACGGCCATAAGTTGACTGAGAGTAGATTCAGGCTGGACATTAGAAAGCACTGCTTCACAGTCAGGGTGGCTAGGATCTGGAACCAACTTCCAAGGGAAGTGGTGCTTGCTCCTACCCTGGGGATCTTCAGAAGGAGGCTAGATAATCACCTTGCCGGGGTCACTTGACCCCAGCATTCTTTCCTGCCCATGGCAGGGGGTTGGACTTGTTCTTCTCGGGTCTCTTCTGACCCTACCAACTATGAAACTACTGTCTGGTTTTTTTCTTTTCTCTTTTAAAGTATACATATGTTGCCTTTGTTGCTGTTACCTTGTAATAGAAAAATTGAATGCCTATTTGGTTTTGGCTTTGGAAGTTATGCCCCTACAATATGCACCAAACTTGAAATTGGCACGGCATAATATTGAGTTCTAGTTTGTAAGGTGACTAGTTCTGCTCATCCTTTCTGACCCAATTTCTGAAGTGTTAGATGTGGGAAAGTCTCTAATATAAACTTTTAAACAGAATTATAGTTGTCCCGAGCATCTATCACCCTCTAGTGATAGAGATGATCAGCAATTGCATCATTAAATTTGAAGTATAATTAGTTCCAAAGTATATTTGTTCTTGTATTGCTAATACTGGCTCTCCATATTTTACCAAGCCTTGTTAATGTTTATTTGCCTTTCAGTAACCTTGGTGTTGCCTGGCATAAATGCTCTGGCACTACTAATGAAGCTTCCTATGTAATACAGTTTTGCAAGTAAGGAGCCAGTGTAAGTTGAAGTCTTCACATTATTCTTTCAGGATCCCAGTCTTTCTTCACCCTGAGCACAGCAATCTTCCTTCTAGAAGTTCTGCTACCTCTATCCTATTATTTTCTGTAGATGTCTTGTTTGTCACCAGTGCAATACCATCAGCAAAATCAGGGTCATGGAACTGTTTTGTCCTGACCATTGCATTCCTGTACTGCTTTTATCAACAGTATTGTTCATTTGGAATAGTCAAGGACTAGATAAAGATGAAGATAACAGGATACAACCTGTTCTACCTTCTGTGGTAATTGTTTGTTACTGTCATCATATTATTACAGTCTCCTAAAGATGTAAATTTTGCAGTGTTTTCAGAAAGCACAGTCTGTGCATCAGTGAAGCAGATGGTGATTAGTATCTTGGACATCAGAGGTGTGTCCTAATGAGTGCACAGATGCAGGGGTGTGCATTTCCTGAGGGACAAGTAGCACTAAACAAGTATTGACGCAGTAAAACAAGCACTAGTTTTTTTTTTGAAGGGGGATGAATCCATGACACCTGTTTGTTGCTTCAGCAGAATAAGGAATTCGTAATGATAAGATCATGTTCTGAACACTTACTCAGGAGAAGATTGCCATTTGAATTGACTTAACCCAAGGCTTCCATTCCAAGTATTCCTTTCCATAGTTCTCAGAGTCCCTGCCCACTCTAGCACTGAAATCCCCAAGAAGAATTACGTTATCTTCTTTGGGGACAGATGATAGGACTTATTCAAGTTTAGAATAGAATTCTTCTTTTATTTCATCACCTGCTTCAGGAGCATATCCACTGATGACTTGCAAGGCAAATCTGCAGAAAATGATAGAGTAGAGGTAGTAGAACTCCCAGAAGTAAGATTGTGGAGAGGTTCAAGGTGAGGAAAGACTGAACTCTTGAAAGGATAAAGTGACTCCTGACTGCTGGATTGATCATTGATAAGTTCAGTAATGTCCATTTCTTTTGCCCCAAAATGATGCAACCAAAAGAAACAACCAAAGAGGTTGAATATGAAAACCCTGCTAAAAGTAATCATCTCCAGCAACACCTCAGTGGAAAAACTACAACTTCCCTGATCATCTTGACACCACTGATCACTGGGAGATCCTCAAGAAAGGCATCCACAAGGCATTTGAAGAAACTCTAGGCTTTTCCACCAAGAAATATCAGTCGGTTTAGTGAAAATGATAGGGAAATTCAGGCTCTCGGAGACAGAAAAAGGAGCACCCTTGAAGCTTGGCAGAGTGCTGTCAACTCCAAAAAGATGCAAGACATTTATCACCACATTAAAGCCAAAGGAAAATTCAAGAGCAAAAGAACAAGTGGTGAGAGGACAAAGCAGAAGTCAGATGCAGGGCATCTGAGGGTGCTGAGGGAGTTGGCTGATGATTTCAGAGCTGCTGACCATTATCTTGAAAACTCATGGCAATCAGGGGAGGACCCAGATGATTGGAGAAGGGCAAATATAGTGC